GCCTACGAACTCTAAATTTGTCGCTTTTTATTTTCCTAAGAAATTATCTACGAAGTTAGAGTAGTTCAATTTATTCAAGGTCTATAGGCTCAGACCGAGAATTTTATACATGAATATTTAGGCCAAAGTCCATCGGCCACAGCGGCTAACCGCGTAATATTCATTAACTGCCGGCAGGCAACTAGTAGTATACTTCAGGGTAAGGTGATACCATACTAACAGCACAGGTACTAGCCAAAAACCCATAAACGCGTGTTTTGCCGATGTTTTGCCGTTGCTTGGCGCAGCTGCGAGGGGTTCGACTCGTCAGTCGGTCCCCCAGCATTCCTCGTGTGTTCTCTGGTAGATACTCCAATTTAGAAATGGTCGCTTTTTAATTTCCTGAGAAATTATCTACGAAGTTGGAGTAGTTCAGTTTATTCAGTTTTCAGTTTATTTACCTTAATTCGATTGAATCGACAGATTGGTCTAACGACTTCGTCTGTTGCCTCTTCTGGTTTCGCTGAACTCGACGTCCATCTTCCTTTTTCGGCTTGTTGGGGTATCCTGTGGTCTGGCTCGTTGACGTTTTTCATCTCTTTTTCATCGTGTTCTATGGGTTTTATTTTGTTATGCCAGAGGAGTGATACTGTTATTTCAGTGAGGAGGACGACGTCTACTTCTGATTTAAAAAATATGGTGGTGAGTCCTCGGCATCCATCCTAGCGTGTCGAAATTTCAGTGTTTAATTTGTTTGTGGTCTATTTCCTTAGAACATAGCGCTCTTCAGGATTGATGTTCGGTTGTCCTTCGCGCCCACTTGAGAGCGAATCAAATATTTCCAGTAAATTTTAATCCCAGGGATTGGAAAAGGCGTTTACAGCGGAGACACTTAATGAAGAGGCCTCTTTGCTGAATGTTTGCCGCCACGTGTGCAGCAGCTTCCATATGACACTGAGGCACCAGAGTGCGTCTAATCATTTAGGGAGGAGGCTACCATATCGATGGGCAAACCCACAAATGGCGACGAGTCCTTGTGGTGCAGCGCCTGACTTCTCCATTGGAACGCCCACTATACACTGGGAACATAATGCGGTTTGCCATGGACATGCCAGTATGACTGCATTTACGAGGATGACATTTGCATCCATTACTAACATTACCTGTCACCGTCGTAATAGCCATTATGCGCTTTTACTTGCCCGACATTCGAGCGAGCAGGAATGTCGCAGATAACCCTAGTAAGCTCTATCTTCGCTATGTTATCCTTATCAGGGACTCGAAGACCGGTTTTTCGAATATCCTTAAGTTCCGAGACGTACTGGCTCACAAACACTCTTAAAGTCTCGGCCTAGCGGGACCGAAAAATATTCCTACAAGGGATCCACGGATCTGATGGCTGACAACGCCGCGGATTGGTCATAAATACTGACCATACACTTAAAATGGCCTCACCTCGTCAATTTGCAACTGAAAACGTACTGTAGAGTGCGAGGATGGCGTCCGAAGTTGGAGCTCATTCAAAAGACCACGTTTAAGACCTCAATGGACGTAGCTGCTGTTGGAGAGGGACTTGCTAATACATGTCACGGGCGTCTGCATTAGCTCCCGCGGGCCTTTGTAGACTTCTACATGTTACGGCCGCAACATCAGGAACAACAGCTTCGTCAATGACTGCAGCATTTGGGCCTATAAACAGAACTCCGTCAAATCCGACGAAAAGCATTTGACAACAAACGAGTTTGGGCTTTCATCAGATCCGCCGCCCTCTTCTCCTAACCATATACGCATAAAATACCCGTCAATGGGAACCTTTGGGCTAAGCTGAGGCATCTGCCGTTCCGGAGATTGGTCCGTCATCAAGGGCAACGTAGACGGGATCGACGGGTCTTCTGTGGAAGCGCTTATTCAACTTGTACATGGAACTCCGGCGAATTATCATTTAATTTCGGTCCATATTAGCTTCGAATTAACATATTAATTGCATAAACAAATGATACGTCAGGGGTTACCCTTTGTCATATTTTTGTTTGTACACTGTCTTTTATAGCAATCCCACTTGCTAAGCATTTACTAGATTTGCATTTATCTGCTTTTGTTTAAGTTGGTGTTTGTGTAACGGTTACGCGCACTGGTGTTAGATGCGGTTTGATTAACTGACTTTTCACCCATTGCCTTTGTTCTTCTCCGGGCGGCGTTGCGAGGTAAGTCCGTTCTGACGCGGCCGTTTTGCTTGGCTTTTCTCGATTAACTCTTAACGTGAAATCGAGTTATCGATTGACTTGCCCGCTAAACGTCAGTATACACAACAGTAAATCAGTCAGAAGATGCGCCACTCGTATCAGTAGGCCTAATTCCAATTCTAGTAATCTTTAGAAAATCATTACTTATGAAAATGAACGACTGTATCAAATAAAAGCATGAAAAAAGGCGACTAATTATGTATTGCAGTCTCACGAATACAGCTACTGAAAACACATTGAACTACGATATCTACCTAGCGTGTACACGGTCAACTTAACAGTGCCCTCAACACGACCCACTTAAACAAAGCCCGTAATCAGCTCTGCGTAGGATTTTTTTCTTCTGAATCAAGTCGGGCGGGAATGCATTCTATAGCGCACACAGCGTATATTTAACTCTTTAAACTGAAAACCTCCAAGACATAACAATCAGAGACTTCACTGCAGACGGAAACATTTCATCCGATTTGTACGGGACCTGGCCACGTATAGCCCCGTTCTGGCCTCGCGTAATGACGGGGCTGCGTATTGGCAGGGTTGTCAACAGTCTTTGTTTTCTGCAGGTTTCCTATCACCTCGTTAACGGAAGATTGACTTTGGAAGCACGTTAGAGTTGGTATCCGTGGGAATCAGAACTAAACAGAGTCAGATACTTCCTTAAGCTCCGGATAGGGATTTTGTAAGAGCCTCAGTGACGAAGGAAGATATCGCTGCTAATGTGGCCAACGAAATCGAAGGCTAATTGCACTCCTAGCTGAGTTATCGGTGCATGTCGGCGAGGCGCAATTTCAACAGAGACGGATGACCGAAAGATACAAATTCAGGAAGACGAGAAAAATGCAGTCGGATTCAAACAGCGCCTAAGCAGGATTTGCTATGTAATCCATGTCGAATCTACCAGATTTCTAAATAGCACGAGTGATTATTAGGTGTTTTAGCAAAGTTTAAATATGTTTTGATTCAACCATGACAAGCTAAGCGATCTTGATGGTATTGGAAACTACGAGAGCAAGCAGAAGGCTTTAGTACAACCGACGCTCTAGCCCCATGACCTACGAGGCCCCACCTTGAACCGCTAGTTAAGTCACATTTTTATCAAGTTACCTGCGCAGCCTACAGCAACGTATGGAATACGCCATTTCTAATATAATCAGCTGACTGTGTATGCAGGCTCTACTTCATCCACGTCCTTACTGATGTGAGTTCGAATTCTACCGAGGCCACAGGCGGAATAAATGAATTATTCAAGTCTGCCAAAAACACCAATTAATTATCTGTGCCTGTTAGTTTTTTGATGGATTTAAGATTAATTGCTACTAAGTTCTATTTAGACAGTCAGGTGAGTTCGAATTCCTCCGAGGCCACAGGCGGAAGAAATGAATTACTCAAATCTGCCAAAAACACCAATTAATTATCTGTGCCTGTTAGCTTCTGGGTGGATTTAAGGTTAATTGCTAGCAAGTTCTGCTTAGACAGTCAGCTTGCTTTATCGGAGTCTAGGGATTCCATGTGTTGTAGTAGGCTGGGCGGGTATCATAACCTAGACGGGGTTAAACACACGGTCCCCAGTGGGACCTTGTAGTTAACGAGATGTAAATGTTGGCTGCACTCAAGCAAAGTTCTTGCTGTCGTATATTTGAATTTCATTCAGGTCGCCGATGTTCTCATAATGGAGTCAATTAACTTTGCCAACTCTGCCGGAAAACCAATTAATAATTTTATTATTGATTAACGCGATAGACCGGAGGTTCGGAAGATTGGTTACTAACTTTTGGACATGATGGGAAGTTCAGTGTCTCTTGGATTTGCGTCACTTGTTTTAGAACAGTATGGGAAAGTAGTCTATGTGTGTTGTTCAATCACTAACGAAATCGGGGAAAAACTGCGTTATTTCGTCCTTATTCGAGTTCGCCGTCAAATGAATATTTGGATTTTATTGCGCCTAAAGTCCAGTGCACGTAAGTCACATAATAAAAAAGCAAAAGTCAAACGTAGCTGACTCGAAATATCTGCAAAAATTTGGACAAACGAAATGGTGAGGAAGCAAAATCGCGAGAATCAATACCGTAACACTGTGGTAACAGATATTCGAAGATAATATTAAGGAGACAGAGGACCGCTCCTAAATTAAAATTTGCGGACAGAAATGTTTAACTTGTTGCTGTAGTCCAGCTTATGTCGAATTAAGCGCTTTTTGCAGCCTGGGACACTGTTCTACTCAATGCTAATTATCGTGAACAGACAAGGATTTAAATTGTGCACCATTTTCTAACAAAATCCAGGATAGAAACAGGAAGATGCATATCACGCCTTGGTTCTGGACATAAGATTTGTCGCTTGATATTTTGGTAAATACGTCCATCTGTTTGCACTCACATTTGCAACGGCATATTTATTGTTTTATGACTACCTCTGTCTGTGGCCGAATTTCACCCTCATATCATAGCTTCCCGGTATACTTTTATGCACCTTCATGTTTCTGTCTGACTCTTTTTCGATCCGTCCATTTTGTTGTCTATGATTCAGTTCCTTTTCATGAATGCGGCGTAGCATTTATTAAATTGTCTTCATACGCACTCCATCCGAATCCTTACAAGTTCCGTTCAAACACCCTAGGACTCATATTGGCTTTGTAGTTATATTATTTTGACAAGAATTACGTATTTTCTGAAGGCTTTGAGTTATCTTAGTACTGGCCTGTGGGATACTTGTTCATATGATCTGAAGTAGAGCCGCCTTAGGTGAACGGCTATTGCTACAGAGCATTCACATTCCGCTATGTGGCTCTTGGGAGGTGGTGGGAGTGATTCTGCCTACAAAACAAACATTGAGGAAGCCAACAAGCATTTGGATGCTCTGGCTAAAAGGATAGAGGAGTTGGAGGCGGCGTTAGAGGAGCAGAAGGCAGAAATGGAACGAAGGGATGAAGTTTATGCGCAATCTGTCAAGGTGTGCTCTCGAATATTTGCTAAAATGATAGCGTTTTTACGTCGAATATAATCGTCTGGAGTGGTATAATTAGGACACATTGCAGGTGTTAAGGTTTTCGAGCTTTGGCGTTGCTCATTCCATCTGTTCGGACTAGTTATCGGGCATATGCCCCGCCTTATTTATGCATGCATTTTCCGTAATCCTTAGTAGATTATCATTATGTAGGCATTTCATACCCGCCTTTTTAACGTCTAAGTAGACCTCTGGACTGGACTAGTTTAGAAATTACTTATGGGGCAACTGTTATCGCGTGTGAAAGTCGGAAACAAGGTTTTTGAACCGCACAATAGAACAAACGCTCGGGACCTTAGGTGAAATTGTTACTTGTTCTCACGTTGTGTCCTAAGACTTTTGTTGGAACGGACTAACGGTGTAAGACTAGAGGCCGCTCTGATACCGTAATGAGGCCTCGAGCAGCCACGATAATCGTTACTCTTTTCTCAGAAGGCAAGTGTTTATTACAAACACCAATAGCACCAGGGCTTCTGCCCTTACGTATTTGTGGTCTTAGGAAATAAAATGCTACCCTGTATTATATTGTGGCATTTGCAAAGCGTGAATTTTCCGGCTTGTCCAGCACATTGTTCAGTGCTTTCCTACATCACCCATTAACTGATGTCACTTGCACTTTCTGTTGTGCACGTTGTCGGCAGCATTATTATTATTATCATTATTATTAGGAACTGCATCAGCTGCGGGATCAAGAAACAGCTTCCCTCTCTGCGAAAGTTAAAGAATATGGATCAACTATCCGGTGCTTAGAATCGGACATTAAACGTCGTGATGCTGAATTAAACATCCTTCGCCAGCGTTGTCGTATGCTAGACGAAATCATGCGATACAAAGCGAGCCTCGCCAAACTTACAATTACCCTCGAACAAGCCGAACAATACTCCAAGTCCGTGTACCGAACCACCCAAGATCAGAGACTTGCGGGCGCCTCCGAAGTCATGGTGCATGTGGATCCAACTCCCCGTCCTACCCAGTCAATCGAGTATCTTGTTGATGAAGTGCCCGATGACGAAATAGTCGACCGAGTCGGTGAGGCGTACGTGAATGGGGAGAAGGAAAGGCTGAAGAAACCTGTTCCAACATTAGCCCAAAAAGCGGCGAAGACTGAAGTTATGCCCTAATTGCCTTTCATCTTTCTCTCATTGGCTGTGCTTTATTTCCTACATCTGCCCGTCCCACTCCGACTGTTATTATGATTTTACCATCAGTGTATATTCTTTTTTCTTTTTTATGGCTCATTACCACAGTCCTGCGTTTTCCAACCCACCTTTTATTGCAAAAGCTGTACATAACTAGTGTCGGAACAACCGCTCGTCTTAGTATGTGCTTAATAGGGGCGATCGGACGGGTAGTTTTTCTATTTATACTCTTTCGCATTTGATGCTGGTCAGCAAGCTATTTGCCGGCAATGGAGATCCCAGCCCACAATCAAGGCAGGATTCCAGTAATCTATTTCCATTTGAACTTTGCATTGCCATGTGGACTATTGTCGTGAAGCGATATACAGCGCCAAACAAGCGCGTGGATTTTGTCTCTGGGACACGTACGGTTAGCCATTTGAAGATCGCTGCATGACTATACCATATCATATTCAACGCAGCGGGGACCGTATCTCAGGGGGTTTGACCCGTCTCTGAAACAAATGGCTCAAGTTTGCGCGGCTACCGAATCGTAAAAAACTGGCCACATGACAATTTCGGCTCCTGCCGGAAGGTTTCAGGTTTCGCTTTCCTAGTTGACTACCGGTCAGCCTCTAACTTCCTAGTTAATACCATCCTATCACTAGGACAAACTCGAGAATCCAGAGCATTCCTCACCGCAATAGGTGTAACGCGGTTGTAATTATTGCTGCACGCTAAAAGCGATTTTAGGGGTTGCCAATTGACTGGTTCAATTTATCTCTTGGAATGAGCACCCGACTGCGATGGTTTTTTCCTGAAATGCCCTCACGTATGCGGCATCTCAACTCATCTCAGACGCGCATCATACGGTGACTACGTCGCGCCGGCCACTGCGCCAATCTCAATTGCCAATCGGATTAAGTAATTAGACGAGAGCGAAGTCTGATGTCAGTTCACCTGGCATGCAGCGCTTCGTCTAACAACAAACTACCAAACATGCTCCGGAGTTGTTGCAACCCACCAACTTTTGGAGCTTGGTAGACAGCCAATCGACGGGCCAACCCAGTTCTCAGGGCCGCGTTGGTCCTGTAGTTTTATGGCCAATCCGAGATGGTGTAGAGTTAGGAACCAAGTCTCGTGGGGTACATGTAGGCGGATTATTTAGCCCTGCCAGTTCTGTGCATCCACGTCTATCCACAGTCCTAACCTGACCCTGCTGTCGAGACACGATAGGAGAGGACTGCGCTGTCAGACTAGTTCAGGTCTTCATCCATTGCCATGAACAAACCATTAGAAAAAGCCGGTTGAATAGGTAAGGCCAGCTCATAGCTGCACCTTCCGTGTTAGTGGCTTTCGGGCGGCTAGTAAGGGCCATTGTCCGATTTGTAGACGGTAATGCTCAATATGGGCTATCGCATACATTAGCGGGGGTGATAGAGGCAAGGAATGAGGGCACAAGCTGCAAGAGTCGGAATCGGATGGTGAGATATAAAAAGAGTTTCTGGGTTTGATGACAGAGCGAGCTCAGAAGGACAAGGCAAGGCAATTATTTGCCTGACGGTTCGGTTCGTCAATAGAAGCGAAGAGACGAGTCCCAGGAAGTAGTCTTGAAGAAGGAGACACGATCGCCGGGACAAGAGCTTTATTAGCTTGACGTTTCGGATTCCTACTCGAATCCATCATCAGAGACAAAAAAACAGAAACGGGTTCGGTTCGTCACAGGAGGCCATCGTCAGTAACAGTCTGGACTGTCTCCCAGAATTCACCTCACCTCTTCTGTCGACAAGGGAGCGATTAGCTCCTTTATTGTTCAGTGGGGTTAGCGTCTGTGCAGGCGCTTTGTGACGGGTTTACAGGAGCCACCACTTCTATCATCTACGAATGTCGGTCATTTGGGATCGTTGACTCCGACTTTTTCTCGATCGTACCCTCCAAAGCCACATTTTGTACCCTTCAAATCTTGCGCTTGATGACGAGGTCTTAACTAGATGGGATGAGTGGTGTTTGCCTGACGATCAATTCGGTCCATGTCGACCGCTTCTTTACAGTCTACTTTAACTCATCTAGAAGGTTAGTTTCATAAGATAACTCGTGGATACGATAAGCTTTGACAAGTCTGTCGATGTTAGGCTGCGGCGTTTTCGACCGGTTAAGGTGCTGGCCCGACTGCCCGGAGGTACCTCGGGTGCGGAAAATGCGCAATGGACAGTTACTTAAATTAGGGTAGTAGGCATTATTTTTGGTTGAGCTACATTCAGTCAAATAGGAAACTGTCGCAACGCATAGGCTGTACTTCATCATGGCCGAAACCCCAAACGCTCGGTTTTGTTAAAACCGCGAAAAAATTAACGGTTGGATACCAGTGTCGTAACACTCCGTTATTGATGCTAGTATTATTGCAGTTAGTTACCCATACTGTAAGCGTTGGTAGAGCAGCATTGGCAGCCGTGGTGGCGGTGGTAGTAGTAGTAGTACTAATAGTAGGATTATTAGTAGTATTCGCCGTATCAATGGTGGTAGACGGGAGAAAAAGTTTTATTCAGTGTTGCGACACTGTATTCCCGCCAGTGGTAGTAGTATTAGTAGTAACAACGGTAGTAGTGGTAGTAGTAGCAGTAGTAGTGGTGGTGGTAGTAGTAGTATTACTGGTAGTAGTAGTAGTCCGCCCGTAAGACAGGCTGGTGGGGGAATAGACAATTCTAAGTGTTGCGACACTGTATTCCCGCGAAATTGACTTAGGTTTCTAAATGCCAGAACGTTCTGTTTCACTTAGCCAACCAAACGCTCGTATTTTTTTCATCAGGGTCTTATGGTAATCGAAGTTTCCTTTTTAGAAAACCGCAAAATACCAATCGCATGTTCTTGAAACCCTCCAGACCCACCTAGAGGGGTTTGTTCGGTCTCAGTCAAACCAAGAGGTAAATCGGGAATAACATCTCAACGCTTTCTGGGAATCCGCTCAGGTGCGTAGTGTTTCCAACCGAATGATATCTGGAATGATGACAACAAGCGACAACCAAACGCGCGACTTCACTACCCGTCGTCTGTCCGCATGGTTTTAACCATGTTTGCTGGATTGCCACTTACACCGGGCCTTCGCTGAGTAAAGATTCACTTTTCGCGTAACTCTAAGGTTACAAATTAGGCCTGCTCCCCGATTTTCCGTGAACTGGACAATCGTGTGATTTTCAGCGGAAGCAGATGTGATTCCCGCTAATAATCTGATTCCGGGGACAATTACTACCAAGCCAGCCTCGGCATACTGGACACTTTCAGTCATATCACAGTGTCGACCATTAATTTGAGTAAGATTGTCCATTAATTTGGGTCAGAGTTCCGTGGCAAAACAGAGGACTGCGGCTCCCTGCAATCGAGCTGGGCAGTTAGTTTAGTCCCACTGGCACCCAAAGACAAGAGTTATCGGATACAGACGCATAAACACAGCGGGGAGGGGGAGGCTATGGGCTCACATTCACACTTAAGATTTCCCTCGGCAACATTCCTTGGGCACCCGAACGGTCAAGCCTATAGCCTTGTGCAAGGAAGTCTTTGGGCAAGCGCCTGTCGCCTCCCTCCTCCTCCTCCTCCTCCTCCTCCTCCTCCTCCTCCCCTTTCCTCCCCTGGACAGCTTGTTTGCGCCGAGCATCCCAATGTGAGTTATTCAAGACTGCCACACCAGACGACAAAGCAATCTTGTAAACTGCTCCGGCTTAACTGAGAGTTGACTGCGGGGACACCTTCGACAGGTTCATTTGCATAAGTGCCAGGCCTCTTGACTCGCTGGTGGGAGGGGAGGGTGGCAGAAGAGAAGGGGGGATCCCACAGATCTTGAGTTGGTGGGGTGGGAGGAGCAGGAGCAGAGTCTAAGAGATAAGATGCCGACTTAGCCATAGTGATTGCATGGATCTAAGTGGTCAGCTGCGCTAATGAATGGCTTAGCATTCATGCTACGGCGTGAAGCGACGAAATATGCTGCGTAAGTTGACAAAGTCTAATCACCCGAGGCCGTAGGAACTGCAGGTTGCTGCGGCCAACACAAGAACGGGACTGATCCTCGCTGGCTGTCTCTGGGTCGAAAAAGCGAGAATTAGAACCTGCTCTCTCTCGCTCCCTCATCAGCTGGTGGGCAAGCCCGCAATATCCAAACTGTAGGGTTTATTACCCACGCGGCTGAGAGGCAAGTGTCCTCTCAGAATGGAAAAGCACCATTTGAAAAACTCGATATTCGGTGCTCCAGAGATGTTTGTGGACAAAAGGAGAAATGTGAGGATTTTAAAATTTATTGGAACTTGTTGTGTGAACTCGGAGAAAGGTTTTCGGGACGGGTTGCAATCCGCCAATTTTAACGGACTAACCACTGAGTTAACAGAGGCTACCAACAGGTAGTTAGCAGCGCGTAAATATTGGGTAATTAGCTGTATCCAAAAAACTGCACGGAACAATTACAACACTAGGGTTTATGTTAGCTTGCCATCGTGCATATTTTCAACCACTCGCGAAGATTAGAGTAGGACAACTTCTCCATCTGCATATGATAGCGCATTCAGAGAAAATAACGCAGCGAGACCCTTAGTTGGTATAAAAAAACATTTTGCTTAGATAGATGCCGTTACTTAGATGCTTTTGAGCGATCTGCTTGAGTAAGTCCCTCATCCGGGCAGTTCACAAGACTCTCAGACAATAAAATGTCCGTTCGAAGCAACACGTAAAACGACTTTAAGGAATTCATGTTTGCTGTTTCTATCTCCTTTTATCTTCTGGTGATGCACTCGAACCTTAGTCCGAAGCATCAGGCGTACATGGACCGTGTGTATTGACATGAAAAGTCATTTTGTTTTTATGTGCCGACAACGACCTGTAAAAAACTTTGATACAGTTTTCAAGAGCAAGTTATCGTAACGATACTCCGATATCTGAAATTCTACCAAACTGACACCAGTCCATGGAGGAGTTTTTGCAAACCACACGCAAAGGGGCGTCCCATGGACTAGTGGTGGGAA